AAAAAAAAAAAAAAAAAAAAAAAAAGGAAAAGGAAAGAAGAGAAGAAACTCGGCGGCGAAGAGAGAGAAACTCGTCGACGCGTTGCTGATCTGTTACGAACGCGTTGTTAATTAAGCCGTGTGTAGAGCAAAGATGGGCATAGAGGAAGAGAAAGAACGGAGAGAAAAAAGAGAAACAGAAAGAATGGAGAGAGAGAGAGAGAGAGAGAGAAATAGAGTAAGGAAGAAAGAGAATAGGGATAGGACAAAAAGTAAAGGATGTCCGTATATGCATATATTTCGATCGCGCGATATCAAGAAAATGAGCTGGAAACGCGATGGAGCGAAAAAGCCAGAGAAAACTGTACATAATATTATGTGACACGTACATATACGTATATAGATATAGATATGGATAAATATAGATATAGATACAGAGTTACAGGTACAGATGCAGATCATAGATATCTGGATATAGAGATATAGGTGGACACAGACATCAACATAGACATATAGATATATAGATAGAACAATAGACATAGAGATGGAGATGGAAATAGTAATAGATTATAGGCATAGATAAAGATTAGAGATTATAGATATAGGTGTAGATATAGAAATACCATGTGCATATATAAATACTTAGCGCATATACAGTAGTGTATTTTTTATTTTTTATCTTTTTTTTTCGGTGTAAGAGAGTGGGGAACAGTGGTACCTGAAAGACCGTGACAAGTGCCCAGACGATGTCGTTGAAATGTTTGCGATCACAGCGACACATTGGGTGCCGCGAGACCACCTCGGCACAGGTGCAGGGCCGACTCCGGTCCGCCCACATGCAAAACTTACCCCCGAACAGGTACATCCCTAGGATGCTGCAACCGAGACAATCCGCTGGCCTAAAGTATCACCGCGATGAACGACGAACGAGAAAGAAATTGGGGACAAGGGATATACCGGTTGCCACACACACCGTGAAGCGTCTTCGTTTCTTCTTTCTTTCACATTTCTACGAATTTTTCGTAAAGCCAGGTGTCTCGTTTTCCATTTTCCTTTCGCTCGATTTCCAACGATCTGTCCACGTACTTTTTACATCCACTCGATTCGACCGAACTTTTTCGTTGTTTCTTACGTCTGTGCTCTTGTAGAACGTATCAAGTGTATATCGTGTAAAACGTTTGGAAATTTTTAGTTAAACGTATGGCGGAACACGACTGTCGTGGTATATTGGTCGAATCGGTTTTACGATTACGTTGGTGTCGTATTAATCGTATTAGGTGTATCGACGTATATACAGGGTGTCGGAGAAGATCGGGGCAAAATTCGTACTACGTGTTGCCGAAACCAGGCAGATAAATAGAAGCTTCGTAGGAATTTGTGTCCGAAGATGCTTTATCGAGGAATTATATGAGTTCTTAAGCTTTTATTAAGCGTTGTGGAAGTTGTAACAAACGTTGAAAATTTCTTCTTTCTGCGAGGATTCAGGCTTCCTCTCGTCGAATTGAGTGTCAAATTCTTTCGAATACTCCTGCCGATACAGAGATATTAGCAAATGTATTTTGAATACACTGCGAAAGCTGGTCTTCCGTTTCTATCGCGTTTTCGTCAAACGAAGAACAACTTCCCCAGAAATTCTCGAACGCTTGTAATTTTTTAACAAAGCATTTTCGGACATAAGTTCGTACGAACATTTACTATCTACCCGACCTCATTAACGCGTACTACAAGTTTGTTCCCGACACCCGATATATCGAAATGTATCCTAATATATAATACGCACACGTATGTGTACACAATATGTAATTACAAGATATTACACATACGACATACACACCTCGAAATTGCTTCCAAATTTCTTACTTCTCAATACGATCACGACAGTCCTGTCTCAGCGTGGTTAATGAAATTTGAAAAAATAAGCGCGATATATGCATAAAAATTGTTTACGACGAGCGTGGAAATACTTTGTCGAGTCAGCGTATATAAACCCGTGAGAGCACGAAAAGCCGAACAGGCGTTGAATTTGTATAGTATCGATCTTCTTCTGCGGGGCAGGTTGTAGGTACAACGGAGAAAACGGCCGGCGCGATTCGAATGTAAAGCTATGGTAAAAATACGTATCCGGGTTACGTAATCCCTTAAGCGGCGCTTTGGATGTCGGTTCGAATATGGCCGTGAATATTTTAAGCGGTAATTTCCAGGCGGAATTGCGGCCGCCGTTCGCCACTGCGTTAGTTAGCGCATTGTTCATCGCCAGGAAAATTACCTCCGAGCTAGAATAGAAACTGAGATTGAATGCGTATTTAAGGAAACTGCGGATTATGGTGCTGGCGCTGTCTAGTTCGTCGAGACTGCTAAGGCTAAGTATTTGCGTCGGCTGTTTGTTCGATGACCGAGCTTTTAAACTGTTTCCACGTGAAATGGACAGCGTCGCTGGAAACTATTTCCACGACTTTGTTAATGTTGATTTTAGTGGAAACTGGTTGAAACGGGTATCGTATAGTTTCAGGCAAACTATACTACGTACAGGGTGAGTCGCGTTCAACACGGCTGTTTTCTTTCAAAGTATTTAGGTGGCTGAAAAATTCTTTTCACGGTGTTCGTGGTCCTCTCGCATGGTTTGACCCTTTCGTGATGTAGCGCGAAAGAGACAAAAAGAGAACGAAGGTGGTATAGCACTGTGAGTATATTAAACGTCGCGTACGTAACGCATTCATTAATAATGATTTCTTATGGAAGGTTGAAAGATACGTCGCTTTTTCGACGGTAGAAGCGCAAGAGATCATTTTGAAATTATTCATTCTGCATTCTTGGTCGCTTTATTGCACCGTGAAAGAGTAAAAACCCAGGCAGAGTACAGTTATCGGTTTCGATTAACCTAAATAGGTCTCAATCTTTTAACAATATCTTCCGAACTAATATCGATTTCCCTTTATTTCACATTTAAATCGAATATTTAAAATTCTCTTGCTAATTTTCAACCGACCACCGTCCACCTCAGATATCATCGCATAGCGTAACAAAAGTCGTAAAATATGGTAAGATCGTCATCCAGTCAACCGTTTGGAAGGTCGACAAACGTATCTGTCTCAAATGACAAATTCAAATTCTTTTCTCGTGTCGTTAGAAAAAAAGAGATGGAAACATTCGACTCATGAAATTCCTCTTAACAAATATTTCCACAAACAACGATAACAACAAGGATCAATTAATAATCGAATAAATAAATAAGCGAATCGAACCGACGGATATCGAGCGACGAATTATACGATTCGATGACAGACATTTTATAAAAGGAGACGCGGTCGAATCGAACGAATCGCCGCGATTAAAAATAACAATTGACTCTAGGAGAACGAAGACACTTGGCGGGCGGGGCGTTTAAGCAGGTATATCGGGTGAACAGCAAAAACAACTGTCACTCGAAGCTTGTACAGTCACATTCTGCAAGATCGGCGGTGTCTGTCCATTTGTACAAATGCCGTGTATCCTGTATTCGGACGAGAGAAAACAAACAGGCGTACGTGTGTCATGTAACTTGTATATATTATATATACGTTGTTACCAAGCGAATATTACACAAGCTGCGTGTATAAACTGTAAGGAAAAACTGTACGGCGATAGTAATAAAAATTGCGGAAGAAAAATTGCATTAATTGAATTCTGAATAGTAAAAGGAAAATTTTTAGATTAATGTCTGTGGATAATAAAATTGTCGTTTGCGTGAATAAATTCTCGTCATATGCCGTGTTTCACGTTACGATCGACGTTACCGACGGATATGGAATATATCGAACGAATTGGACGAAATTTTGGCTACAAACGACGTATGTACGTTTGAGAACAAGAGGTTTGGACAAACATAGTGGAAATTTTATTAGACAAAATACGTAAGCAACAACTCGTTCTCAAACTCTACTTTCGGGCATTCTTCGAGCTTCTTAATATACAGCAAATTTTTGTTCCCACACATACAGGGTGGTTGGTAACTGGTGGTACAACCGGACAGGGGGTGATTCTACGCGTAAAAAGAAGTCGAAAATATAGAATAAACATTTTTCGTTCGAGGCTTTGTTTTCGAGAAAATCGACTTTGAATGTTCGCTCGGTACGCGTGCGGTACGTTATACCGGACCTCTCTGTAGATCGTTGTCTCGATGGAAAAATTAAAAAAAAAAGAAATGTTTATTCTACATTTTCGACTTCTTTTTTCGCGTAGAATCACCCCCTTTCCGCTTGTACCACCAGTTACCAACCACCCTGTATATCCATAAACGAATATCAACGTCGACGTGTGATTGAACTGAAATTCAGTAAATTCGATTGTTGCGATAGACCGGATAAATCAGTTGGGAATTGTAAATTAAAACGATTTTAACTCTACGAGCAAGAAGAAAATAGAGTCCCAAATAAAATGATAATAAATGACAACAAAAATAAATGAGATGTACGTATCGACAAACAAACCAACCCGAATAGTATGGCCAAGAAAAATATGCAAAGATACGTTTCGGTATTCTTGTTCTGTCGCGCATGAAACTTGTACACAAACTCGTGTCCAATTCTTCTGAAACATCCAGTACAGAACAGAATCGGTAAAAAGGAAATCGACATTGATATTCGTTTTTTGTTTGGAATACGTGTCGTTTGCTTCGAAGATCCGATACGGACGAGAACTACCATCTCGTCGCGCTAAACTTCGCCTCGTTGATTCATCGTTATTCAACAACTGTACGTGTCTAACGATGCACTCTGATGCACTCTGATGCGAGTTCGCTATTATAAATACGAATTTATCGTATCGAATAACGCGCCGTACGTCTGCGTCGTACTCCGAGACAAAGATACACCGTATGCGCGAAACATAATTTTTAAATTTCAATTCAGTTACGTCGGTTGCAACATGACGAAAAGTGAAACTAATAGAGCCGCGGCGAAATATATGTACCTGTCGTTGCAGAATGTCACGGTTGACGTTTATTCGGACAAAAAAAACCAGGAGAGAAAGAAAACGGAGAAAACCAAAAAAAAAAAAGAAAAAAGGAGAAAGATAAAATAAAACGGCAAAGCGTAAATATATATATATATGTATATAATATATAATATAATGTAATAATAATTTCTAAATATAAGTAAGGTTAAAAATCTGAAACGAACTTTTAGCGGCTGGTTGCACAAGTACACACTAGCTATCGGTATTAGCAAGTATCTGTAATATTGTTGTTACGTATCTCATATATATGTCTCTAAATTAATAAATCTACCTGGAATTCTGAATGGCACGGGTATTTGGGTATCGGGTAAATAAAGGTGTCTATCTACAGCGGCTAAACGGAGAGATATTAATAGTACGGAAATCGTACGCAAATTACATGTGGCAGACGGTTGTACCTCTTATTTTCTTTTCTTTCTTTTTTTTTCTTCTCTTTTCTCTCTAACGTGTTAATTTCTATTTGTTCTTTTCTTCTTCTTCTTTTTTGTTTCTCCCTCTCGTTTGAAACAATCTGCTGTTCATTCGGTTCAACGGACGTGTCACGCGACGATTTTTAATCCGACACACATTGAGACTCTGCTTTACGTGTTTATATCTCGTGTTCGCGCGACGTATCGTTTCTTTCTTTGCCCCCCTTCCCTCCTCCAGGTTCGTCGGATGTTCGATTTTTTTTTTATTTTTTATTCATTTTTTTTTTCTTTTTGGAACACAAAGTGAAAAGTCGAACAAGATAGAGACAGATAGAGACAGAGAGAAAAGACAGTCAGAGTAAGTATGGCAGAAACAGTGTGAATACAATCGAATGAATCAGAGATACAAAATGCGCAACCGAAGAATCGAAGTCGGATAAACAAACACGTGTAGAGAAATTACGAACGTCAAT